TGACATCTGCAAGTAATGTCAGTTTTGTGTCTTCTTCCCCAGTCACTGCATGTTTGACAGTTTTTCTTGCTATTGTTTTTACACTGTTTAGAACATTTGGTTCAACGTTGAATAGAATGGTAACAGCACATATACTAGTTATCCTCATTTCAGGGGAAAAACTATCATTCATTATTAAATAAAATGCTTACTTGGATAATTTTTGCAGATACTTTGATCTGGTGAAGAAAGTGTACCTTTTAATTCAGTTTGCTTGTTATCATAGGTAAGCGTGGAATTTTATCAAATGTCTTTACTCCATCATTTAAGGAGATCACATGGTTTGTATTTTCATTTTTCGCTTTTAATTTAATGAATTAGAGCAATTTTTCCAATGTTAAATCAATGTTAGCTTCCTGGAATAAGTGCTACTTGGTCATGATGCACAACTTTTTTATGTTACTGATTTGATTTGAAATTATTTAATTTAACTCCTTATGTATTTATGTTTTCTTGAATCTGTGTTGTACTTTTTTTCCTTGGGATGTCTTTGCCACATTTTGGTATTTTATAGTGGTCTTATAAGACAATTTGGGAAGTGCTTCCTCTTTTCCTAGTTTTGCAAAAGTTTGGGTATTATTTGTGCTATTTCTTCTTAAAATATTTGGAAACCTTCACCAGAAATTTTTAAAAATTATGCATTCAGTATCTTCAATTGAGACAAGACTACCCCAATTTTCAAATTTTTCTTCTGTTGGTTTTCATTAATTATGGTTTCAAGTAATTTGTCTATTTCAACTAAATTTTGAAAAGTTATCGACATATGTTTTCATAATATCCTCTTATTTTTTCTTCAATGACTAACGAATCACTTTTCATTCCTTATATTAATTAGTTGTGCCTTCTCTGGTTCTTCTTTGATCTATGTTTTAGAGAATTATCAGTATTATTAGCTTTCACAGAAATGGATCTTGGTTTTATAACCCATTTTAATAGACTTTCTCTCAATTTCCTTCCTTCTAACTCTGGTAGCGTAGTGGTTACGAATCAGGCTGCGAACCGCAAGGTCAGCAGTTTGAAACTACCAGCTGCTCCGCAGGAGAAAGATGAGGCTTTCTGCTCCCATAAAGATTAACAGCCTCGGAAACCCTGTGCAGGGTTGCTGTGAGTCAGAACCGACTCCATGGCACATAACAACAACAACAACTTTCTCTAGATTCTGTATATTGTTGGTTTTCTAACTTCTTGAGAGGATGTTTAGATAATTGATTTCTTCCTCTTTTCCCATAATATATGTATTTTAAGCCTATGTATTTCAGCCAAAGCCTTATATTTCACTCTTCATATTTTTATATGAAGTCTTTGTCTTCATTATTCAGTTAAATTATTTTATAACTTCCATAGTGGCATCATCTTTGATTTACAAGATTATTTAGACGTGTAACATCCAAGCATGTGGAAATTTTCCAGTAATCTCTCCAGTATTAGTCTGCAGTTTTAATTACACTATGGTCAAAGGACATATTCAATATTATTTGTCTTTGAAATTTGTTAAGATTTGATTTGTTACTCAGGGTACAGAATACTTTGGAATAATATGATGTATACTCTTCAATTGTTGAATACAGTGTTTTACAATATTAATTCGGTCATGTTCGTTAATTACTTTCTTAAAACCTGTAGCCTTACTAGGTTTTATCTGCTTATTCATCAACTACTTTGAGAGCTAGGCAAAAAATACTATTACAACTGTGTATTTGTCTAATTTTCTTTTTAGCACTGTCATTTGTTTACATTATGTATTGTGAGGTTATGTTGTTAGGATTGGCACTGAACTGCTAACTATGAAGTTGGTGGTTCAAACCCACCAGCTGCTTCTTGAAAATCATGTAAAGGGTTGCTATTAGTTGGAACCAACTCAACAGTACTTAACAGCAACAACAACCCAACTTCTCTTTGAAGACTTGATCCTTTTATCATGAAACTGTTTTCTTTCAGCACTTTGAAAACCTCTCTTCATTGTCTTCTGGCTTCCATTAATTCTATTGAGAAGTCAGTTGTCAATCTTGTTTTTGTTCCTTAGAAGGTAATATATCTTTATTTCTTTGTCTGTTTTTAAGTGTTCTCTTTGTTTTTGTTTTTCATCAGATAATCTATGATGTGATTAGTGACATTCTTTTCATATTTAATCTGCTTGAGATCCATGGTACTTTGTGAAGCTGTACTTTGATAGCTATCAACAGTTTTGAAAGATTCTCAGTTATTACCTATTCAGATAAGTGATCATCTATCATCGCTGCTCTGTATTTCTGGTATTCCACAGTACAATTGTACTTATGTAATATTATGCATTACCTCTATATCATATGTCTAAATTCCTCTTCTATCTGTTATTCCACTAATCCACTTTTTTAGGTATCTCTGACCCAAGAGTTAGTACACTATGGTCAGCAAGGCAACCCCTGTTCTTATTAATAAAATTTGTTATTGGAACACAGTCTTGCGTAAGTTTTTATGTTTTGTCTGTAGTTGCCTTTGCAATACACCAACAGAGTTGGTTGATTACAATGGAGACTGTATGGCTTGCAAGCCTAAAATGTTTATTACCTGGCTCTTAAAAAAAATGTTTGCTGACTCCATGGTCTAATCTACTGCTAAGCTCATCCATTGTGATACTGACTTCAGTTATTGCACTTTTTACTTCTAGAATTTTTGTTTTGTTTTTCTTATAGCTTCTTGATTTCCAGTGTAATTCTCCATCTTATTTCATTTTTAAGGTATATTAATTATGGTATCTTAATGCAGATTCCCTGAATATCAGAGCTCAGGGCAAAAACTCTGCACCTATGCTGTTTTTTTTATGACCAGAGAAACGGCAAGAGATGCTGCTAGACCCCAAAACATTAGAACAAGACATGACGCCAAGGGCAGGGCTGTAGGGTATGGTAGTGGTATAATTTCTGTTTCTATCAGTTAATGTCATCGTCTGATTTCTTACAACTTTACTTATAATGTCTGTTTTTCTACCTTTTTATTGTTAAATTTTGCCTTTTTTGAAAAAATGCCTGGTGTGGTACTGTAGGATCAGCTCTGGACTGCAAACCATAAGGTCAGCAGTTCAAACCCACCATCTCTTCCTTGGAAACCCTATATAGGGCCATTATGAGTCAGATCTGACTTGACAACTAGTTATTTAAATTTTTTGTGCTGGATGTTGTAAATATGATTTGAAACTTTGGATTTGTTCTGCTTCAGGGATAGCATCTGATCACCTTCATCCAACCAGGGATTTAAATCATTGGACTCTGTGCTTCATGACCTTTGAACGATGGTCTATGTTCAATCTGATTGCTAGGATATATCTTTCTGGGTGCCCCTTAAGAGCCTGGGGTGTTTATCTGTATCTCTTGCCATAAGAGGTCTTGAATTCATGTTTGTTCCCCCAGTCCCATTAGTTTGAAAGATGACAGGCCTGCTTAGCTTCTCAGCCTCTCAAATACCATTTGAAAATTTAAAATTCTCTTGAGTTGAAAGGTGGCATCAAAGGTAGTAGGAGTCCTGGTGTGGCTCTGCAGGTTAATACATCGAGCTCCAAGTTTGGCTTGAAACGTAAGGTCGATATTTCAAGCTCACCAGCCGCTCCTCGGAAACCCTATACCAGGTTGTTTATGAGTCAGAACCAACTCAACAACACTTAACAATAACAACAAATCAAAGGGAGTGGTATATATCTTTCCAAGTTCCCTTGGTAAATGAGACCTTAGCCTTACAAGTCCTCACTATCTTCTCTAATGACTTCCAATAAATTTTAAAAAGAAACTTTTTACACCGCATTTTTCATCCAAAACTGGTAGTTTTCATCCAAAACTGAAGCAAAACTTTAAGCAGCTCTTCCTATTTCTGTAGTCCCTGTGCTATGCCCCCTGCACCCCGCTCACTATCCTCTTCCAACATATCCAATGTTTATGTATGCTGTCATGTTTTATAATTAAATATATCAGTATATTATTTTTTCAATCAACATTCACTAATAAGCACAGTGGTTCCATACGGTAAGCACTAAACTGTTAACCACAAGACCCAAGGTTTGAGTCCATCAGCCACTCCACTTGAGAAGGATGAGACTTTTTGTTTCTATAAAGATTTATAGCCTCGGAAACTGTACACAGGATCACTATGAGTCAGAACCGACGCAAGAGCACTCAACACCATTAGTGACAACAAGCATCATTAAATATTACCTCTTTCATTTTTCCTTATTTTTACCTTCTTGAATTGCATATGTGCGTTAGTACACTTGGATCTGTATCTTCCATGAGCTGGGAAGTCTTGTTTTTGTTTATTTAAATCTCTTTTCCTCTTTGTAATGCATTCTGGGAGATTTTCTCACTTCAAATCAATAGAGAAGGTAAAAAGTAGAGTGGGAACTTTCTGGTTGCATAAAATCCCCAAGAAGTAAAATATATGTCTGTTTGTTATCACTTGCAGTGATCCTTACCCTTTTAATTAAGCATCACAATGCTCTTATGCAAATATCAGGTGTTTTATGTGCATTTGAGTTTATGTAGTTGTGCTTTAACAAATTTTTCAGAAGAATCTACTTAAAGATGTTATTATAAAAAAAAGGGGGGCAATCCCACTTACCAAGTCATATTATAGACAAACCCAGATTAAATTTCCACATTACAGTCATGGAAATAAAACCAAGTGTTTCAGGGAGGGAAAAAAAAAAAATGTCAAAAGAAAAAAATCTACCTACATTTTTTTAACCCAGTAGTATGCATGGAATTACCTGGAAAAATTACTCCAGGGAGGTTGGTTGACTGTCTGTCTCTTCAACCCCCATTTATGGCAAATCAAAATAAAATGATGTCACATGTAAAAGTTCTTGGAGTCTGTGCATCCTAGTCTGCTGTGATAGATGTGTAAATGTGTAGGTGACTTGCTTTCTTCTCTTGTTGAAAGGTGTGGCGATCACTAGCCCATTGTATGCAAATGTTATCACAGTTCTCTCTGTCCAGATCAGGTACACTGTGGCCAAAGACAGCGTGGTCCAGTTCTTCTTTTACCAGCCAATCAGTCATCAGTGGAGACAGACAGACTTCTTTCCCTGCACTGCAACTTGTGGAGGAGGTGAGACGAGATTTTTTTCTTGATTACTTAGAACTCAGAGTTAGCAATTATGCAGTGGCATTGTTGAAGACGATGTTCAATGTAGTAATTAGAGACATCTACTTACACAACATGGAGTCCTGGTGTAGAGCTGTAGGATCAGCAATGGATTGCTATCCTCAAGGTCAGCGGTTCAAACCCACCAGCTGCTCCTTGGAACCAATAAACAGAATCACTATGGTTGGAAATGGACTTGATGACACTTAGCAACAGCAGCAACCCTACGGCGTATTGCTCATCAGCCCGGAATGCAATAATTTTACAAATATGTCTTTATGGCCTTTTTTCTTGAAGACAAATCAGAAGTCAAATTTGGAAAACATCTTTTCACAAAAAGCTGGAAACATGTTTTGCATGTGTTCTTGTGTCTCTCTTCAAAGTCCCAAAATCCTCAGATCCATTACCCCTGAGTCAATTCTGACTTTTGGTGTCCACATGTGTTACAGAAGAGAACTGCTCCAAACGGTTTTCTCCACTGTAATTGGAAAGCGATCACCAGGGCTTTCTGTGTGTGCTCGAACCATTGGGTATATTTTGACTGAGTGCAAACCATTTGTGGCCATTGGCCATGGAAAACTTGAGAATCAGAGAGGTTAAGTGACTTGCCCAGTCCGATCAATTTAATGGAAATGTTGGTTCTTATAAATAGATTTCCTTTTCTTTCCCCAATTTATGTGAGTATAACTCAAAAGAGTAAGGGTATCAACTGAAGTGCAAGTGGGGGTGGGATGTTCTGCACTCCATTTGCTACTTCAAGGTTTGCACAGACGGTTGAAGTAGGTTTGGGGCCAAGTGTATTCCAGCACTCATTCAGCGCTTCCTACTAATGAAACACCTTTGTATGTTTGTAGCAGATAGCAGGCACCTTTGTGGGCCACACTGGCCAGGTCACAATGTAGTGGGATCTGTGTACCTGGGAATGGAAGAGAGACAGAATTTGGGGGCTGAATGAGGCCCTAAAAGGAAAATCATCATCATCATCTCAGTGCCATGAAGTCGATGCTGACTCATAGTAGCCCTGTGGAGGATTTCCAAGGCTGCCCTGGTGTGGCGCCATAGGATAAGCACTCAACCTCAAGATCAGTTTGAACTGCGAGGTCGGTGGTTCAAACTCACCAGCCACTTCTCAGAAACCCCATACAGGGTGTCTATGTGTCGGAACTGACTCACCGGTGCTTAACAACAAATCTCCTGAAAAGTGACTCGTAGCTTTGAACTATATACTTAGCAGTCCAGTGCTTATCCTACAGTGCCACACCAGGACTCCTAAAAAGAAAACTTAAGATTAATTTTCCCACTTTCCAGGTAGTTCTTCAGATGGCCAGGCTTGGGCCTTAAAGCACTTAATTACAGTTCCACAACAGTGGTTCTCCAAGTGTGATTTCTGGACCTGCAGCCGCACAAGGATACTCTGGGTACTAGTTAGGAAAGTGAACACCCAGGCCCACCCCAGACCTACCGAATCACAAAGTCAGAAAATCCGAAACACAGCCTTCTGGGTTTCAACAAGCCCTCCCCATGAGTCTGATGAATACTCACGTTTATCAACCAGCATTCTTCAGAGCTGTGTCTGTGGGTATCAGCTGTAGTAATCTTCCCAAACCAATTGCCATTGAGTCAGCTTCTACTCATGGTGCCCTCGTATAAGTCAGAGTAGAGTTGTGCTCCATATGGTTCCAGTGACTGAGTTTTTAGAAAGAGTTCACCAGCCCTTTCTTCTGAGGTACCTCTGGGTAGATTTGAAATCCCAACCTCTTGGTTAAATGTTGATTGCATTAATCATTTGCACCATCCAGGACAACATACATATAATATCTTCACTATTTTTGCCATATCTTTGTTAACCCTGTACTATTATTTACTGACAGTATGTTCTTTAAAAGAGTTTTTATTTTTAACTTAAATAAACATAGCTATAAAATATTTTTTTGTATTACCACCTTAAATGGAAACTGTTATTTCTTCTCATATATATAACACAGACACAAAAATAAATACAATGGAAATAAACCAGTGGTGAAGACAATCTTCTTGTCTCTGGAAGCTGTAATATTCTCTGTTCTTTCAGAAATTATCTCTTCCAATTCTTCCTGAAGTTGAAAATGTATTTTGTTGACTACTATAAACATTTTCTTAGACATAAGCTCCTTCAAATCTCCGGGTCATTGAGTTTCCAGTAGTTTCGAATGGAGATTCTTTAAAACATTTGCTCTTGTTTAAAGCTGACTGCTCTGTAGGACTGTGAAACACAAGGTCCATGGTTCAAGCCCACCAGTCACTCCATAGGTGAAAGATGACTTTCTGCTTCCACAGATTTAGTCTCAGAAACCCTCTACAAGGTCACTATGAGTCAGAACTTAACAACAACAAAGCTGGCTGAGGTAAAACACTATTTAGAATTGAGACTGTGGACTGGCTAAGCTCAAAAGATCTCTCCAAACCTGGGCCTCAGAAATATCTTGGCCAATCCTATTCTCCAAAATTGTATGCCAAAATTTATATCAAGACACAGCACTGTCCAGTGCACAAAGCTGGAGAGTTAGAGATCGAGGATCTGGATTTCCATCTTGGCTTTTGCCACTAATTATCCCTGAGACATCTTTGAGACTAAGTCTTTCCATCTGCAAATTAGACTTTAACTATTCCCCTGATAATGTTGCTGGAGACAGAGTGATGTTGCACACGTCAAGGAAAACAGTTTGATATCAGGCACGTAGTGAATTGGGGAAATGCTTGTTATATCAGAATCTAAAACTGAACTGTGTTCAAAAGCTCTCTGAGGATCTCTGATCTCCAATCTCTGAGGATCACAGATCTCCTCTCTCTGAGGCCCTCAGA